TCTGAACATAATATAGAGGAAACAGAAACTCCCATTGCTCACAGAGCTTGTTTTTCCCAGTAATCTAAAAAGTGTGAAAAAATTCCATTGGCCTTTTTTGTTAAAGGAACTGCGACGATGTAAACTCTTGTTTTGGTACACACAAACACGGTTGTCCCTGTGGCACTGTGGCCCTCTCTTTACATCATATTCAGCCAAGAGGAGAAACCCCCCCCCCAAAGAAAAAAAAAACAAAAAAACAATCTGAACAATCTGGATTATTTATACAGGCACTGATCTCAGTATTTGAAACTTTGACCATGTTTAAAATGGTTCATCATATCTGGGTTTCCATGTGACATTTGGCCTAAAAAGTGCAACAGATGGTTGTAGAAGGAGCTTTACTCATCACAATCTATAGCATATTAACTAGACTTTTTGATTTTATTATTAGTAACAAAGAAACAATGCATCTCTTCATGTGCAAGAGAGAATAGGGAAATAGATCACAGGTAAAATGTCTAAATCAGCAGAAGGTATATATGTTAATTCATTTTGGAGGGTAATGTGTCAATACAACCCTGCTGCAAGGGATTCGGAGTCTAATCTTTCTTTAGTCAAGCTCAGCAATGTGGGAAAACAGGCTCATGAATGAATGTTGTGGCTCCTCTGGTTGAAATAAAGCTGGCATCTATTCTGGCCTCCATTCACATCAGTGGACACAAGCCTCAGACAGACTCAGCTACCCTGGTTCTCAACACCGGGCATTCAAGCATTTTAGCTCAGTTATTCCACCATCAGTGCCACTCGTGTCTGAAAGATCTGCTTCCTTATCATTAAAGCTCCACCAGGATACTTCGACAAGCAACGAAGACTAGATTCAGAGCAGAATAATCATTATAATCATTACCTGCTGCTACAGTTGGTTAAACAATATAACTGAGGTGCTATCTAGCATCGCACATTTTGGAAACGTGCAGCAGAATACAGATGTACTCACAAATAAATTTGGTTATCAAAACTTTATTTGTAAAAGAATAAGCATTTTTTTTTAAAGGTTTGTTTGTATTTTGCAAAGTTACAAGGACAAAGTAAAATATTTCCCAGTTCTGAAAGATTGTAATGATCAGAAGATGGAAATATTTGGAGTTTAATCATCTCAAAACTGTGCAGTGCACCACAGAGCTTCACTGCTTTGAAGTGCACTTTTCAGAAATCTCTTGTTAATCAAAAGGCTCTTTTTGTTTATGTAGAGCCTTTCATCCCTCAATTAATTTAATTTTCACATAATAGTCACGTCTGTGTTTGGTCTGGGCTGTGTGCAAGCACACTGAAAGCATTTCCTAGCTTGTGTGGACGCAGTTCTGATTTGATGAAAACACAATCACATAATAAACTTAAATGGCCCCATTCCAAAAGAAATGCAGTGTTTTAAAAGCTTTTGCGGTCCGCACATTATCACACTAATGTTCCTCTGACTGTGCAGCGCATAATCAGGAAACGCTGAATTACCGTTGTTATTTTTGGACCTTTTATTCCTCTCTCATTTATAATTTGTCATTGTAACAACAACCACATTGGACAGAAATGATGAAGTTTCTATTAAATAACAAAGTCCAGGAAGTCCTGTTGATTGGTGCAGGGATAACAGGGCAATATATCTTCAAGTGAAATCACATTCATTTATTCTTTAACCATAGAGGCAAAATAGCAGCGTAACACTAAACTTTTATCAGGGTTAGAGTCTTGTTCTATCCCCAGCAGTGTTCTTGCTCCACTTCCTTTTTTTTTTTGTTCTGTCTGCACTTCTCATGAGCACCTGTTCTTTGGAAAATAAAATTTTCTTGTTAACCCCATTTACATTACAGCTTAGAGAGAGGGGGGAGGAATCAAACTGCCTGCTCAAACTTAATAAGCGAACTCACCTTCTGCCCGAGATACGTCTTCCCTAACTGCCCGGGTGTTCTTGAATTAAATTAGGAAGAATCGCTTTAGGGCACATCCAACAGTTGGATGTGTTTCAGTCGGATATAAAGAACAAAACATGTTTCTCCTTTTTCTCTGAAAACCCTTTGAGTGATTACTTTTCTTCATAGCAGGGCAAAGAAAATCAATGCAGAGTTCAGAGTATAAATTACTCATCATTAGTGCTAGAGCCACAGCACAATAGTGCTGTGTTTTTTTGGAGTTTTTTTTTTTTTTTTGTGGAGTGCCAGGGTGATTTAAAGCTGCTGACAGCACCAGACGCTTACACTGCAATAGGCTCCTGCTGTCTCTCTTGTCCTCTATCATTTGTATCGATGGGTATAGCCTGTCTGCTTGCCTGACAGTTAATCTCTTCTTCTCTTCTCTTCTCTTCCCTCCTCCTCCTCCTTCACTAACTATTACTCTCTCCTTTCTCTCTGTGAGCCTCCACAGCTCCTCCTCTTTCTATTTCTTGCATTACCTCCCCTGTTTTGTTTTGTTTTTTCTCACAGATGTCGTCATGATGTATGATTTCACAGTAGCTCAGACAGCCAGTGTTGCTCAAACTCTACAAGACATCTATTTTTTCTTACATGGGGACCTATTGTGGTTTTTTCCAGTATTTTTTCTCTTATATCATTCACAGTTCAAGTCAATTATCTTGCACTGCCTATTGGTGCAACCAGTCAATTTATCTTCTGTATTCTGAGTTAATCTAGTGGTTCTCAAACCACCAGCATTAATTTTAACAACATTGTTTCCCCCAATCATGACCCTTTTTAAAAAAGAAATAACCCACATTTCAGCATCAACATCATTCGACTTGGCTCTGAAAGCCGCTGCTTTAACCCAACTTCCTTGTGACTGGCTGCTCAACACAAACAGAAGGTTTGAACAGCAGGTTGGTTTGACTTCTGTGCTTATTGCTGTGTACCTGAGATGACCATATTAGATATATCTACTCTGTTTGACATCATACTGATCCAATAGAAAAATATTGGGGAAAAAAAACAAAAACAAATCTCTGAACCTGAGAGTTTGGAGCAGTCAGGGATTCCTTGCAAATATGCTGACCTCATTACTTGAAACCTGCATCATGTTTAGAGCATCTACCTCTGTGGATCATGAACTCTGACCTCTGGTTAGATGTGAAAGAAATGCAATTTCCCTTAAAGCGTGCTTCTGATAACCAAAATACATGCAAAAGAAACATGCACTGTAATTTTATGCCTTTATTGATTGAATTTAACATATTATTTAAAAAATTTCAGCGCAAAGAGAAGAGAAAAGAAGAGATTGATTGAGAAGAGCTAGAACTGGTTCTGTATATCCAGTGGTGAACAGAAAACACCGGAACACAGAAAATGGAGAAGCTCGAGTTTGAGATCAGAGTTCGTTGACCTGCTGTGGCAACATTACCAACCAACAAATGTGTACATTTCTCTCTCTCTCCTGTGTTTAAAAGGGAGAGAGTGAGGGTGAGAGAGGCCCCAAACAGCACCTGCATGTAGAATAATCCTTCAGTGTAGTTGACACCTGTGTCTGCAGAGGGATCTAGCAGCTCTCTGTCTACCTTTGTTTCACAAACACTGCTGTGGGGATGTTTTGCTCATACCACAACAAATGTTTACACCCTCCATCATTTTTCCTCTTCTTTTCAGTATTTTTCACTGTCAAAATAAATCACATTTTTCTTTAAATGAGTACAAAAAAAGGGGAACATGATAACCTAACAATCAAATTACTTATTATTTTCCCATGTACGTTAAAATAGACATAAAATTAATCATTACACAGAATTCAGGTTTATATTATTTAGTTTATTATTGTATTGTTTAGAAGTTAGTGCCTGAAACGGCAAGCCTTTGTTTTTAACAATTGTCTCTCTTTAAACTAGTATTAATGTAGGTAACTGAGTTATTATACTCGCCCAAAAAAGTCTTTTTGTTAATTCCACCGTCTCCAAGAGATACATCATAGCAGGTCTTACAAATACTCACTCACATACTGTCTTGCTTTTTCTCACTTTCATTCCTCTTCTCTCCAGAGCACACCTCCACCTCTCTGGACTCTCTCCCACCTGCTCCCTGCTCGCACTAAGACCACAACATCATCTGCAAATATTATAGTCCACAAAGACTCCTTCCTGATCTCTTTTCCATAGCTTTATTGTATGGCTCAGCAGCTCTTCACATCACTCTTGCTCTTGAAAACTAGTACCAGCACACTTCTGCTCCATTCTTCACAGACACACTCTCTCTAGGATTTAGTCTGGTGAAAAAGCCCCTTGCCCTCTCTCCTAGAAATCTCTATACCTCCACAGGTATGTAAACCATCACTTAAGGTGGATGTTGATTTTCAGTTAAGGGTCTAAATATTTTTTTTTCAACTAAAGAGTATTTTGTGTTTTTGTAATTCAAACAACTTCCCTTGATTTAGAAATATGTTTAAATGTACTTCCATTTTCACTCCTGTGTTATGTTGGCATCCCTGTGTCAGAAACAGTAATGCATTTTATTTATAAAACTGGAGTATTTCCTGCAGGTTTTTCCACTCTGCAAAGAATATTAGAGTGAGACATACTGGATCTTTTGACTAAGGTTATTACAGTGTACCACTGGTGTAATGCTACTTCTACTTTTTATAAGAATAGTTTATTGTCTGTTTGATGTATGCTGCTACAACAACTCAATTTTCTTCTGGGCTTAATAAAGTTTCTCTGATTCTGATTCTAAAACAAAATAAAACCTAACTGAAACAATTTTGTGAACTTGGAAAACTATACAAACAAAAATAAAAAAAACAAGAAAATCCGATTTGAAAACTAACTGAAACCAAACTGAATGAAAAACAAAAAACTCAAAATTAAATAAACTTTTAAAGTAATGAGAAACTACAAAACTATAATGACTCCATACTGATTTCCTCTGGTTCAAAAAGACAAACAAAATCTATTGTGATGGCCCTAAACTGGTTTTCGGAGGGAGCGGCTGGGCTCGGCACTTTCCGGCACGCTTCGTGGATATTGACGTGAGCTCGTGGCCGCCTCTCCCAGACTGCTTTATGTCTGGCAGCAGCGGCCATGCGCGGTCGCCATATTACTGCGCACCCCTCCCCTCCGGCCCCGTCACAGACAGCGCAGACCACGGCAGCGGTGCAGGAGGCTCCATACTGAACGACGCTACCGCCGGGGCGGACCAGTGATACAGCAAAACCCAAACGAGGACCCAGAGGAATGGATTTAACCCGTGTACGGCGATTTTATTAGAAGTGTTTCGCCTTTTAAAGCTTCTAACTGCGGATTAAAGGTGGCTCGCTTTCACTTCGTTTCCTCTTGTTAAAAGAATAAGAATAAAAAACCCAGCAGTTTAAACAGCCGAGTTTGTGTTTAGCTAGCCGGTGATGGAGAGTGGCAGCTAGCTAGCTTTTAATATAACGCTAACTTACTCAGCAGCTTTTTTGCCCGCTTTTTGTGTTCATTGCAGCGTGGCGTCTTTTTCTCTTCAACAAAACATACAGAAATGTTAGCTTGTGTTTAATAAAGGCGCAGACGGACAGCTCTGGTAGTTAACCGGCGAACTGGCATCAGCTGACGCTAGCGGCCACTAGCTTCTTTTGCCTCGCTAGGATAACGCCGAAGCGAGTGAAAGAAGACAAGGGTGTAAATATCGGCACAACTTTTGCCTCATATCTGCGCACTTCGTTGAAATATCTATTGTTTTTTTTTTCTAGATAATTTTTTTGGTCGTTTGTCTGTTGAGCGTAGTTTTGTCAAAACGGCGCCTTTAACGAGCTGCAGCCTTATTGCATACTGTCAGAGACCAACTACCGCCCGGATCTTCTCGAAATGCATCATCCGGACCCTGCAGGAGACTCTGGCAGTGTTAGAAAGATGGCGCACCAGGCTGTCTTTCACAGAAGGGGGAGCAACACTGGCAGCGGGAGCGGCCCCGGGCTGTCAACATCAGCTAACCCGGTGGTTAATAACAGCCACGTACCAGGCGATGACTACCCGCCCTCCCTGTTGATTCAACCTCCTGCTGGCTCATCCTCCCCGGGTCCCCATCATCCTCCTCCCCCCCACAGCCTAAATCTGCTCTCCCAGCCCACACAGTCCACTGGAGCTCAGATAAAAAAGAAGAGTGGTTTCCAGATCACAAGTGTGACTCCAGCACAGGTATCTGTTAGTACCAATAACAGCATTGCAGAGGATACTGAGAGCTACGACGACCTGGATGAGTCCCACACTGAGGATCTGTCATCTTCTGAGATTCTGGATGTGTCCCTCTCCCGAGCTAATGATGTAGTTGGAGCAGAGAGAAGCTCCTCAGAGGAGACGTTGAATAATTTCCATGAGGCGGAGACCCCTGGAGCGGTCTCTCCAAATCAGCCTTCACACCCCCACACCTTGAACCAGGCACAGAAGCAACACGGTGGAGCCATGGTGAATGGGACTGTACACCATCAACATCCTCCACATCCTAACCATGCCCAGGTCTACCCTCTGTCCTCTGGCCCCGGGAGCACCTCATCTGGTCTCACCTCTGGAGCTTTACCTTGTGTCACCCAGAAAATGCCTTCTAATAATGGCGGCCCTCAAGAGAGAGTTTCCCAGGCTGCTCCTTCAAGTATCCCCACTCAGCCTACGGGGACTGCAGTCCCGGGATCTATCCCTGGAATGCACAGCTCTGCTGCTGGCAATACAGTTAGCATAGTTAATCCCCAGACCAGCAGTGTTAGTAATGTGAATATGTTGAGCTCTGCCAACGTGCCTGTGAGAGGGGGAATCAGCACGAGTGCTAGCACTAGCAGTGGCGGCTATCCTCTCAATGTGATGAGCAGCAGTGGAGGGAGTGGAGGAGGAGAAAGTGCTGCTGCTACAGCTGGGAGCAACCTTATGGCCCCCACTAGCATGATCCAGCAACACCAAAACTTAAACTCCAACATTGCTATGACTGCTACAACTACTGTTGCTGTGAGTGCCTCTGGAGGCGTAGGGCTCCCCAGCGGGCTCCATGGAAGAGTTGGATCAGCTGTGCAGCAGCCTGTGAGTGCAACTGCTACAGCTGCGACCACAGCTCCTGTATCATCTGCTCCTGCGGCCCCTGTGGTGGCCACCACCACAAGCTCTCGCTTTAGAGTGGTGAAGCTGGACTCTAACTCTGAGCCCTTCAAAAAGGGCAGATGGACTTGCACTGATTTCTATGATAAGGAGACCCCAGCTCCTGCCCCCACTTCTTCTTCTGATCCTGCGTCCCACAGCATACGGCAGTTTGTCTCTGAGAGCTTTGCTGGGGGGTCAGAGAGAGAAAGCACAAGTGGGAGTTCTGTGAGTAGTACTATGAGTACATTGAGCCATTATGTCGAGAATGTTTGCAGTGGAGATGTTGGTGGACCACAGCATGCACAGGATTACAACTCCCCTCCTCAGGGCTTTCAAGGAATCCTCCCCAGCGGTTTAAGCATGGGAGTATCTCACACCCAACCCCAACAGCATGATAAAACTAATGCAGCCCCCTCGGCACCTACAAACGTTCATCAGCCTCCATCCATGCCGAGCCACCAGACTACCATGGGACTCACTGCTGTGCCCCAGCAGCAGCTCACTTATGCCCAGGCAGTTGCTAATCAACCCCCAGTAGGTGTTCAGCAGCAGAAGTTGGGTTATGCCACCCTACCACAGCAGCCAGCTGCTGCCCCCCAAGCACACACAATGTCGATGAGGCCACCTGAGTACACACAGCCGCAGCAAAGCATCCCTCATTCTTCTGCTGCTTCCCAGGCTTTGTCCAACCAAGCTGGATCCACATCTGCTGGGATGGCTAACGGAGCCTGCCATATGATGGGAGGTCCTCAGCAGCCCCACTCTCTTCAGTCTACCACCTCTAGTATGCCCTCTCATGTCGGGGTAGCTGGTGTTGGCCAGCAGCCTCAGAGCCATCCAGGCCATTTGGATTGCCAGCAGCAAAAGCCGCAGTCACTCCCAACACAAATCCAAAACCAAGGACTGAGCAACCAGCTGCCAACAGCGGCCCACCAGAGCCAGGCGTCTGCACCAAGTGTGCCTCCCCCCAACCCTCAGAGCGATCCCCAGGCCCAACCCCAAGCTCACAACACTGGGAATACTGCTCGGATGCCCCCGCAGGGAGTTCCCCATAGCCAGCTGTCTTCTGTGAGCTTGACCCATGACCACAGCAGTGCCCAGGCCCTGGCTCACGCTGCACAGGCCAGCGCCCTGTATGCCAGTCTGCCGAGCTTCACCACCACTCAGCTGCAAGATGCCCAGCGGCTGCTCCTCCAGCATCAGTCGGGTTTGTTGGGGCTGCCCAAGCTGTCTGGAGGAGAGACTGGATCCAACACTGGCCATGGTCAGGAAACTGAGGGCAACGCTGCCACCGCCAGTGCCTTAACAGCACCAGCTGGTCTCAAGACTGTAGATGGAGAAGAGGATGGGTAAGAGACTTCATTTTTATACTTTTCTCACTTTTCTTATATTTGTTTGATTATCTGCAAACGGTTTATGGCTTTCTTTTTGTTTGTTTGTTTTTTTGTTGTTTTTTTTTTTTGGTATTGTATTAAAAAAAAGTTTTGCGTGATGGTACTCAGCATTTTAAGTCTGTTTGAAGCTGAATGAGTTCACTGTTTAATGTTGCAGCTGTGAGGGAAGAAAAGTGTTGTTGTTATCCTAGATCACCAGCCGACAGAGGCCAAGCTGCTGCACTCTCTCTGTCCTCTGTCAGTGGGATACAGCGCAGGGCTCAGCTGGATGTGACGTTTCTTGTCTTTATCAAGTGGCTGCAGTGATTCAACATTTTACCTCACCCGCCCGCCTGCTTGAAATCCCGGCTGTCTGCCTTACAGGGCACATTTTCTGCTGGGCGCACTGTTCCCTGTAGAGACTCTCAGCACATTTTGTTGTTGAAAAGCAGAAATTACAGTAGCAGTTGTCGACAACTTAATGAGCAATAAAATAAGACAGGTATGAAATAAACTGACAGCCATTGTCAATTTTGTTTTGTAGTCAAAGCAAGTCTTGAAATGCTCTTTCTGCTTTAGGAAAGAAACGAGTTGCCAGGTTGCTTTTTCACATGAAAATGAAGGCACATGGCTCCTTTTTTCCTCAGTGAAAGCTTATTGATTTCATTAAGAGCCTTTTCCCTCTCTCTCTCTCTCTGCTACTGGCGAACTTGAAATTCTTTGGAAATTCCTCACAAGACGTTTTAAGAACATATTTTGAGGTTAGACAGGAATTTTAATCACTGTGCATCACGAGGGACTTGCTTTCATTTCCGTCACCCCTAACAATCTGAAGTCTTATGAATATGTTGGTGTTACTGTCACCTTTGCCCTCATAGCTTTAGGGATGTTTAGCATACCTGAGTCTCAGTCAGCGCTTAGCGAAGTGATGCCAGGTACAGCTGGGAATTGGAGGGTAACATGGAAGTTATGTTAGTTTGGTTTTTTTGGGGGGGGCGGGGTTGCCTTTATGGGTCAGCTGGGTAGATACTAAAGGGTGACTGGTTTTTATCACATGATGTTTAACTCTGAGGAATTTGAAATCTATGTGGGATCAGGTGGATTTTTGTCTTTGATCAGCACTCAAACCAAAGCCCTGCTTACAGATTATCTCTGTGAATTATGCTCATTCTGTCTAGTTGACCTGCTATCAGTGGTAGTGGTAATATTTTAAATTGGAATGGTCCTGGTAACTAATTTCCTGGATCATACTTTGTTTTCTTACTTTTAGACTAGTCAGTCTGCACCATACAGTGGCTTGTGTGGCTAACATTAACAGTGCTAGGACGAGCTACCTTCTGTGCTCGCAAACACCTGTGCATAGTGTAAATAAACATGTCTCCGGTCAGGTGGTTTACTTTGATGCGGCCTACATTTTGCAGATGAAAATAAAACAGAACTGTGCTGGTTTGCAGGGCTGTTACCTGCCCTGTCTAACATTGTGTTTCTTTACAACTAAAGTGAGACGAAGAGTGGGTCCAGGACGCTGGGCCCGGCAATCGACAGGTAACTTTGCAACAACTTTAACCCAACAGATAACTGGCACTGTACATTAATGCAACATGAGAAATTAGTTTAATTTAAGGCTGTTTGATTATGGCAAAATAATGATTATGGCAAAAAAATAATAATAATCCGAATTGTTGGTTAAGCTCAGTTATTTAACATGCTGCTTGTTATTGTCAGTAATTTCAACACTGTACAGTTACAGAAAACAGACTTTTTACAGCAAGTTTCCTTGAAGATAGGGGAAAAAATTGATAGGGAGAAAAAAGAATAAAAGATATGAGCTTGGTAGGAGACATGAGGTCTGAGAGAGTTTCAGACCTGGGCTAACAGGTGTTTTTGACTTTAAAGCCTGTGTAACAAGGGTAGCTGCCACAAAGAAGCCCATGCATCAGCTTAGCTACCTCGCACAGCTCAAGAGGCCTTCATGGTAGCTACAAGGTGAGACCTGGTGACGGAGGCAGTTACAAGCAACTGATGATAATCGTTTCACTTATACACAAATGAAAAC